TGTAACTCTGGTGAGCACATGGACCCTAGAGCAAAAATGTCTCGAAAAAAAATTCAAAGAGTAAAAATTGTTGTTAAGCTATGGTTTTAGAGATGACAACCTTTCATTCTTACTCTAGAGAGCATTTACTCTGTTTCTGTTCAGAACATTACCAATAATAATAAAATATATAGTTTTTATTACCAGAGGGCATGCATGCTCACCAAAGAAAGTGTGTGAGAGAGAAGAAGAAGAAGAAAGCAACCCCAAACAGTGAGTGGTCATACACAATCCCTTCTCTTTCTTCTGTTGGAATTTTGGGTTCACTCCTGCAGCTGGTGTCTTTTTCAAGCTGCAGGGCAGGGATTCAAAACCTGCACAGCTAAGATTCAAACTATGCAGTTGGTCACATGGGATCTGGTTGCCTTGACCACTAGACCACAAGACCAACCCTAAGAGATAGTTTTCTACAGGCCAAACACAAACTTAATGGGGCCAGAGTCTGAGCTATTGAGGAGAAAGTGGGGTGATTCTGGAGAATCAGATAAATTGTTTCCTTACAATGCTTTCATTTTTTTTATCATTAATTTTTAGTTTTTGCTGGCTATCTCGTTCCTTAAAAACTACGCATTCTAAACTGGGAGTCTTGAGATTTCTAATGTATGGAGAGATGTCATTTGATCTGTTCTTGCCTTTTTTTTTTTTTTTTTTATTGAAAGAAAGTGTGTGGATGGGAGAGAGAGAGAGAGAGAGAGAGAGGCCCTGACAGTTTGTCATTATGTCGTGACCCCTCTCCCCAGTCTTTCAGCTCCTCAGTGTCCTGAGCTCACATATGCACCTTGCATGTGTCCCTGTCCACCTGGGACCTGATCTCACAGTCAGCCAGATGGTCCCAGCCTTGCAGGGGACCTGGGTTATGATGGTGCCACAGCGCCTGGCCTATCTATTACTTCTATCTATGACTTTATTGAAGCGATAGTAGTATTTTGATAATTAAAAAGAAGAAAAAAAAAGGTACTTGAAAGAGAGTTGCTATTATCTAACATTAGGCAATTGAAAGTAAATTCTAGCTTTAACTGTTTTTCCTGCAAAGTTTTTCTATCTCATAGATGTCGTTTCATTGAAAAAGACCTATCTCACGACCAGTCTATGAACATCCCATTGAGATTGCCATCTCCTATTAAGGGCATGGAAATAAACTCTCAAACAGATGCCTTCGCCCACAGATACTAAAATCAGAGGGTATTCATAAACCGCCCCACAAATTTTCAGAGTGTAGTGGGAAACAGGAACTGTTAAAAATTTTTAACTCTACTGAAGTATTTTCTTCCTCTTCCGGTAAAATAAAATAAATTACTTTCTACGAAGCTCATTATTTTAAAATCCGTACAAAGAAATCTGGGTTAGAAATTTATGATTAGAATTTGGATTATTTAGGCTCATTTTAGGAGAAAAGCTATATACTCAGAGACAGAAAGCCATAGACTGTTTCTCTAACTCTTCTCAAAACTGAATTGGAATTATTACAAGGGGGAAGAAAAACACTTTTATTTTTTCTGAGAAGACATTGCCCATTACATTAATGGTTCAAAGTTTTACTGATTCCTTTGGGCACATGGACATATGTACTTTCTGACATACTAACCCCACACAAGCTAGAAAGAAAAAGTGAGCAATTCTAGGTATAATGTTCCAGACAAAGAGGAGAGGCTGAAGTTAACTCAACCGCCCCACAAATTTTCAGAGTGTAGTGGGAAACAGGAACTGTTAAAAATTTTTAACTCTACTGAAGTATTTTCTTCCTCTTCCGGTAAAATAAAATAAATTACTTTCTACGAAGCTCATTATTTTAAAATCCGTACAAAGAAATCTGGGTTAGAAATTTATGATTAGAATTTGGATTATTTAGGCTCATTTTAGGAGAAAAGCTATATACTCAGAGACAGAAAGCCATAGACTGTTTCTCTAACTCTTCTCAAAACTGAATTGGAATTATTACAAGGGGGAAGAAAAACACTTATTTTTTCTGAGAAGACATTGCCCATTACATTAATGGTTCAAAGTTTTACTGATTCCTTTGGGCACATGGACATATGTACTTTCTGACATACTAACCCCACACAAGCTAGAAAGAAAAAGTGAGCAATTCTAGGTATAATGTTCCAGACAAAGAGGAGAGGCTGAAGTTAACTCATCACATAAACTTTGAGTAATTAATCACAGTACACAATTAGATTTTTGGAAAAATTAGTCACCCTCAATTTTCAGTTGACAAAAGAGCAGTGGAGAGACCATTGCAGCTGTGAAAAGTAGAAACACTCATGAAGGGTCAGTATTCTAAAGGCAGGGAGGCAGCTCTGAGCTATTTTGACAGTTAAGTAAAGATGAGGGGGAAAAGATTATAAAGGAAAGGAAGTTGTGATGAAAGGGTAGGGCAAAGTATTTGAAAAAATGGTAAAGTGAGAACTTAATTAACGTGGAGAAAAAGGAGCAAGAAAGAATGTTCTTTAGTTCAGATAGCTAAGAGTTTGTAAACAAATGTTTAGCAGAGTTACAACATAATTTGTATTTTAATTTGAAGGGACAAGCAATGACATTATTTGAAGAATGAGAGTTTTAATCTTTTAATATGTTATGCATAGGAAGCTCCATTTCTCTGAAATATGGGTTACTACCAGTTTCTGTTAAAATAACAATGCATTATATATTAGACAAATTGGCAAGCAAAGATTCACTCTTCATTAACTTTTCGTTATAACCTTATAAAAACTCGTTTAAATATTTCAAACTTGAAGCAAGATCATAATTTTATAACGTGACAATGCCCAGAAAACCTGAATCAGTGGCAAATTGATCCTTTTTTTCTTTTTAACTAATATCGTTTAGTCTTGGACTTCTAACTTGAGCAAGAAAATGTAAATGTAATTAATTTCTTAATTAGGAATCATATGAGTAGTTTAACATTAAAACCATTTTGAAAACTATGCATAGTATACATTATACGGAGTTTTAGTTTTTTTATTTAGACTACATTGCTACTGACTTACAACATAACTCTCTTAACAATCACTTCATAGGTAGGCAGTCCTATGTTCTGGATTTTCCAGGTCACTTCAGATTTCAAATATTTGATCTCATACCAGTTTGTCCAGATTTTAGTTTGGAAAACATGGTCACTGAATGTATAGACTAACTTTGAAATAGTAATGGCCTTTAGTAGGATGTAGTAATTCTATTTCTAGGCCATGACTATCAAGTTAAGTCAAATAAAATCAAAGTTCATTATGTGAATTTAATAGTCTATCTTAAAAATAATGAGGACATTTAAAAACTTCATAGCAATTTACAATATAAAAAGCTTTGATAGTGTGATTTGTGCAGACATAAACACATACATAGCTAAGTAAACCTGAACAGGGCTACTCACCTTTGCCAAACTGGAAATGAAAACCAGTATATTTAGAAAGATACTATAGTTACAGACAATATTATATGGTCAAAACTAAGAATGAGAAAAGGAATCTAAATGTGTTTGTGTTGATAAAAAAAGGATTCGGTAGTCTTTTTAAAATTTCCAGACTGGAATTCATATTCTTGATAAACCGGAACGGAGAGGGGACATTGGCATTTACTATGTATATGACGATAATTATCTCAGGGAACGAAGTTAAGACTGATTCATTACCCCATGCCAAAACATAGCTGTTCTGCAAATGAAAACATTTCGATCATGTGATGGCTTTCCTCTTTAATTACTATCTTTTATAATACTGTAACACTTATTCAAGGCTCTGCTCTTTATTCGTTTGTGATTTGGGTAACCACTAAGAGGAGGAGAAACAGCTTAAAAGTCGACTATGTTCACAAGGGCACTTAATAACTTTCTAAAGCTAAGGTGGTTTTCCCCAGGTCTCGCTGGAAGTCTATCTACCACAGTGATCAGGCTCTTCCTCCCACATTTCGCTGCTAGCTGGGGCATGAGAAGCCCGGGAAAGCTGCTGCAAGTGGTGGGAGTGGAGATAGGATGTTCCCCGCTTGACACTTCGGCACTGTTGCCATGAATGATTCACTCCTGCTTGGCACATTTGTTGCAAGGAAATCTCCTCCTCCCGCCGCTTTCTTCTTCGAGCTCTTCTCTAGTTGTCTCCTGTGCTTTGGCCTTTAAGGAAAAGAGGGAGCAGGTGGGCACAGAAGAGCTCGCCCGGTCCTCCTCCCCCTGCTCCTTCCCTAATATAGCAGTACTTCCGGCCGCGTGACATCATCCCCCGCACCCGGGTGACGTGAGCGGCGGGTGACGTGTGTGCGGAGAGGAGCGCGCTGACGTTGCTATTTAAAGGTCCTCCTGCGAGGAGGATGGAGACACAGCGCGGGCACCTGGTGTGGGGCGCGGAGGAGGCTGAGGCTGAGGCGGCCGGGAGTGGGGCCAGGAGCCAGCAGA